ATCCACGCGACCACGAGGAGAGAGACACGCAGACTCCAAATATACAGCAGCAGGCGTCAGGGTCGGGATCTCACCCACGACCTCCTGCACACCAGGCGAGGGAGTTCACATCTCATAGCCACCGCGCCAGCCCCATGCCGGATGGCGACCTATGCAGCCACGATGGTTCCCTGAACCACATCCATTCCGTAGCAGGACGCGCATGGAAGAGATCCGATCAGCTCATTGGGCATGTCCTGCTGAAATATATACAATCTAAATACGTACAATATAACACGTACAATATAAATACATACAATCTAAAAACATACCATCTAAATAAGTACAATATAAACCCATACAATCTAAATACATACAATGGAAATACATACAATATAACTATATAAAATCTAAATAATACAATCTGAATACATACAATCTAAATACATACAATATAATTATATGAAATCTAAAGAAATAAAACATCTAAAATCCACAAGAACCCGGCGCAAGAGACCCGACGCAGTTGCACCACCTGCACTCTCGTGCGCTCCGCCTGCAGAGTTCGAGTGCCCTCGCCGGTTGTGTTGTGGGGCGCGAAGTAGCAGGAGGAGGGGCAGCTCCTGTCGAGTACCCAGAGCCAGGAGAGGTCCTGACGAGTACCCAGAGCCAGGTGAGCTCCTGACGAGTACCCAGAGCCAGGTGAGGTCCTCACGAGTACCCAGAGCCAGGTGAGGTCCTGACGAGTACCCAGAGCCAGGTGAGCTCCTCACGAGTACCCAGAGCCAGGTGAGGTCCTCACGAGTACCCAGAGCCAGGTGAGGTCCTGACGAGTACCCAGAGCCAGGTGAGCTCCTCACGAGTATCCAGAGCCAGGTGAGGTCCTCACGAGTACCCAGAGCCAGGTGAGGTCCTGACGAGTACCCAGAGCCAGGTGAGCTCCTCACGAGTACCCAAAGCCAGGTGAGGTCCTAGCGAGTACCCAGAGCCAGGTGAGGTCATGGCGAGTACCCAGAGCCAGGTGAGGTCATGGCGAGTACCCAGAGCCAGGTGAGGTCCTCACGAGTACCCAGAGCCAGGTGAGGTCCTCACGAGTACCCAGAGCCAGGTGAGCTCCTGACGAGTACCCAAAGCCAGGTGAGGTCCTCACGAGTACCCAGAGCCAGGTGAGGTCCTGACGAGTACCCAGAGCCAGGTGAGGTCCTCACGAGTACCCAGAGCCAGGTGAGCTCCTGACGAGTACCCAGAGCCAGGTGAGGTCCTAGCGAGTACCCAGAGCCAGGTGAGCTCCTCACGAGTACCCAGAGCCAGGTGAGCTCCTGACGAGTACCGAGAGCCAGGTGAGGTCCTAGCGAGTACCCAGAGCCAGGTGAGGTCCTGGCGAGTACCCAGAGCCAGGTGAGGTCCTCACGAGTACCCAGAGCCAGGTGAGCTCCTCACGAGTACCCAGAGCCAGGTGAGGTCCTGACGAGTACCTAGAGCCAGGTGAGGTCCTGACGAGTCCCCAGAGCCAGGTGAGGTCATGGCGAGTACCCAGAGCCAGGTGAGCTCCTCACGAGTACCCAGAGCCAGGTGAGGTCCTGGCGAGTACCCAGAGCCAGGTGAGGTCCTGGCGAGTACCCAGAGCCAGGTGAGGTCATGGCGAGTACCCAGAGCCAGGTGAGCTCCTGACGAGTACCCAGAGCCAGGTGTGCTCCTGACGAGTACACAGAGCCAGGTGAGGTCCTCACGAGTACCCAGAGCCAGGTGAGGTCCTGACGAGCACCCAGAGCCAGGTGAGCTCCTGACGAGTACCCAGAGCCAGGTGAGGTCCTCACGAGTACCCAGAGCCAGGTGAGGTCCTGACGAGTACCCAGAGCCAGGTGAGTTTCTGACGAGTACCCAAAGCCAGGAGAGGTCCTCACGAGTACCCAGAGCCAGGTGAGCTCTTGACGAGTACCCAGAGCCAGGTGAGTTTCTAGCGAGTACCCAGAGCCAGGTGAGCTCCTCACGAGTACCCAGAGCCAGGTGAGCTCTTGACGAGTACCCAGAGCCAGGAGAGCTCCTAGCAAGTACCCGGAGCCAGGTGAGCTCTTGACGAGTACCCAGAGCCAGGTGAGTTTCTGGCGAGTACCCAGAGCCAGGTGAGCTCCTCACGAGTACCCAGAGCCAGGTGAGCTCTTGACGAGTACCCAGAGCCAGGAGAGCTCCTAGCAAGTACCCAGAGCCAGGTGAGCTCCTGACGAGTACCCAGAGCCAGGTGAGGTCCTCACGAGTACTCAGAGCCAGGTGAGCTCCTGACGAGTACCCAGAGCCAGGTGAGCTCTTCACGAGTACCCAGAGCCAGGTGAGGTCCTGACGAGTACCCAGAGCCAGGTGAGGTCCTGGCGAGTACCCAGAGCCAGGTGAGGTCCTGACGAGTACCCAGAGCCAGGTGAGGTCATGGCGAGTACCCAGAGCCAGGTGAGCTCCTCACGAGTACCCAGAGCCAGGTGAGGTCCTGGCGAGTACCCAGAGCCAGGTGAGGTCCTGGCGAGTACCCAGAGCCAGGTGAGGTCATGGCGAGTACCCAGAGCCAGGTGAGCTCCTGACGAGTACCCAGAGCCAGGTGTGCTCCTGACGAGTACACAGAGCCAGGTGAGGTCCTCACGAGTACCCAGAGCCAGGTGAGGTCCTGACGAGCACCCAGAGCCAGGTGAGCTCCTGACGAGTACCCAGAGCCAGGTGAGGTCCTCACGAGTACCCAGAGCCAGGTGAGGTCCTGACGAGTACCCAGAGCCAGGTGAGTTTCTGACGAGTACCCAAAGCCAGGAGAGGTCCTCACGAGTACCCAGAGCCAGGTGAGCTCTTGACGAGTACCCAGAGCCAGGTGAGTTTCTAGCGAGTACCCAGAGCCAGGTGAGCTCCTCACGAGTACCCAGAGCCAGGTGAGCTCTTGACGAGTACCCAGAGCCAGGAGAGCTCCTAGCAAGTACCCAGAGCCAGGTGAGCTCTTGACGAGTACCCAGAGCCAGGTGAGTTTCTGGCGAGTACCCAGAGCCAGGTGAGCTCCTCACGAGTACCCAGAGCCAGGTGAGCTCTTGACGAGTACCCAGAGCCAGGAGAGCTCCTAGCAAGTACCCAGAGCCAGGTGAGCTCCTGACGAGTACCCAGAGCCAGGTGAGGTCCTCACGAGTACTCAGAGCCAGGTGAGCTCCTGACGAGTACCCAGAGCCAGGTGAGCTCTTCACGAGTACCCAGAGCCAGGTGAGGTCCTGACGAGTACCCAGAGCCAGGTGAGGTCCTGGCGAGTACCCAGAGCCAGGTGAGCTCCTGACGAGTACCCAGAGCCAGGTGAGCTCCTCACGAGTACCCAGAGCCAGGTGAGGTCCTGACGAGTACCCAGAGCCAGGTGAGCTCCTGACGAGTACCCAGAGCCAGGTGAGGTCCTCACGAGTACCCAAAGCCAGGTGAGCTCCTAACGAGTACCCAGAGCCAGGTGAGCTCCTGACGAGTACCCATAACTAGGTGAGGTCCTGACGAGTACCCAGAGCCAGGTGAGGTCCTGACGAGTACCCAGAGCCAGGAGAGGTCCTGACGAGTACCAGGAGCCAGGAGAAGCCCTGACGAGTACCCAGAGCCAGGTGAGTTCCTGACGAGTACCCAGAGCCAGGTGAGGTCCTCACGAGTACCCAGAGCCAGGTGAGGTCCTCACGAGTACCCAGAGCCAGGTGAGGTCCTCACGAGTACCCAGAGCCAGGAGAGCTCCTGACGAGTACCCAGAGCCAGGTGAGGTCCTGACGAGTACCCAGAGCCAGGTGAGGTCCTGACGAGTACCCAGAGCCAGGTGAGGTCCTCACGAGTACCCAGAGCCAGGTGAGCTCCTGACGAGTACCCAGAGCCAGGTGAGGTCCTCACGAGTACCCAGAGCCAGGTGAGGTCCTGACGAGTACCCAGAGCCAGGTGAGGTCCTCACGAGTACCCAGAACCAGGAGTACCTGCAGCTAGGAGTGGTGGGCATCCTGGATGTGGTCCACCAGACGCTCCGACCCGGGCAGACCCAGCGACGACGTGAAGACTGCAGTCAAAGGCGAAGTGGTTTCCCCGTGATTTGAACTCGTAGCCAGTGCTGGAAATTCCACATTTCTATGACGGGGGTGGAGGGCCTTTTAATGTCTGTGTGTTCATTATTTATTCGTGAGGTTGTGAGCCAGCTGGGCCAGCATTGCGCAAAGACGTTTCCCGCCTGCCACTGAAACAAGAACAACAATTACGCACATTTAAGAATGTAACAGTTTTTCGTAAGTATACTATTACGAAGAATGGCACTACAAACATGTTATTGTTAAATTCCAACAAAATGGTATAAATTTTATCGACCACAGAAGG